TTGCTTGCGAACAATATCTGTACTTTAATTAAAATGCTTTATTACTAAAATACACTAATAGTCACTAGCCTTCACAGAAACTTCCAGCGGCACAAGGAAGGCCTTATCTTGATGTTAATGGCTGCTAACTGACTACTCTAGGGGTTTCAGAAGGTTGACTGGTTAAGTCAATGTCTTAAAATACATAGTAGCGAGGTTTGCCACATTGATTGATATTTTATTTTACAAAAGATTTCTGGGTAGCATGTGACACTGTTTGACAGCACGTGATTCACAGTAGATTTTTCTCAAAATTAACATCAACCCAAGAAACCTTCTCATCCTTTTATCGACTAAGTTTAAGATACCGTTTCCTTACATCTTTTGTTGTCATTTCATCATTCTTCAGAGTCTCTTCAGCAGTAGATTCTACCTAATAAACTAATCTATGTGAAGCAGCTCCTACTACGGAAGAAGCTACATACATCTGCACTGTGAATTCTTTCTGGAATTTCAATTGACTGTGTACACCAGATAAACTGTAGTCCAGTAGCCGAAGACTTAGAAAACAATTATACTTAGGTGGGTGCCAAATTTGTATCTTTTCCATGTCCTCCAGAGGGGATTATAATAAGTAGGTTTATGGTGAACAAAAATTGCCTTTCACTGTCAGCTCTTGGGTGGTCAGGGACATAGTCACAGAGCAGCAGTATTTTCAAAGGACTATTGTTTTCCTTCATAGTTGCCCTCCACTGTGAGTTAACAACATCAATAAGCCTAAACACATGTGCTGTCATTCAGCATTTCTTAATCCATTTACAAAACACAGGGATAGTAACTTTAAATAGCATCGTGTCCCTAGAAATCTCAGGATGGCTTGTGAACTTTACCTTCAGTGAAAAGTCACCAGCTGTATTAACTCTTTAGTCCTACCATGGGTGTGAGTTTGACCTTTGAATTCAGGGATTGTATTATCCTCTCTATGAAACTTTTCTAGAAATGAAAGTACTTCCTACTTTTTTGCTCTGTGCAACCCTTAGTGCTCTGGATTGAAAGTCTGCTGTTTAATGTACTCACCTTCTTCACTCATTTATAAGAATCCTCTGGAAAATATGTGGCAGGTTTTACACCAGCACCCATTTCACTCAGAATTGTGATTTTTGTTATTGTGTTGTGGGGAACATTTCCTACTTTAAACCTCATGAATCAACTACTTTCAAGGTAATTTTTTGTAGTTTCTTACATTTTTCCAGCCATGATTGAGCTGTAAAGAGTTAAAGTCTTATTCTGTGTTGGTCTTTGACATAAAAGATTGCTGTGCCTGGTTTGATCGAACAGACCAATGAATGTTTCTTTGCATCAGTACCAAGCCTGGCTTGTTTACCTGGCATTTATGAACTAATAAAGAAGCACTTTTGATGTCTCCAGGTGTGTTTTTGTTTTGTTTTGTTTTGTTTTTCTCTGCACTAACAAATTGGTAAAGGTTTACTTCAACAAACTTATTGTGTAACTCTCCTGGGCTCTTCTCATACCTTCCTCTCTTTCACTTGAACATTTACAGGCCACTTTAGGAATATTGATTGACCTAAATTCAATGAGTTGGGGCTCATGGCCTGAGGAAGCCGAAGAAGAGGGGCATATGAAGGAACAACCTGAGCAAGTAGCAGGCAGAACACCATCATTTGGAGCATATTTTCTGATGACTCCAAATAGTTAGAGTAGTTTCATCAAAGACAATAGATCATTAAAGCAGATAAAATACAGCTAAGAAAATTTCAAATATTTTGACAATTATCCAAACACAACACAAACAAAAGGACCGAGGGAATCCTTGCTATAGGACAATGGCACACACAAAGGTGAAGAACGTTCCTGAAAAGAAACATACCTTCCACCGAACCTTTTGCAAGGCTGACTAACAGATCAGAATATTGAAGATGTGGAAAATTTGGGACGCTGCAGACCCACAGATATTATTTTGAGGCTTCTTTAGCATCACTCTTTATAGTCATTTATTGCCTTCATCTGTACATGACCAAATATTTTTACAGCCATCACAAGAGTCCCTTGGTATGTATCAGTAGAAACCTAGTTTATAACCAACTGAAGGGCCAACAGTGCTGTCAGATGGCATCTGAAGCCCATAGCTGAGACTTCACTGCCTTGCTATAGCCCACAGCTAATATTGCAACAAATGTATTTTAAGGGTACCTTGATTTATTCTGTTACTATGAAGGCATCATCAAACTGTTACTGCTTTGGGATACTGAATTTGGAAAAATCTAAATCTGTGATCTTGGGCTATGGTCACTCATACTGGTTCCAGAATAAACTACCTCTCCTCTTTGCGGGGAGCACTAAGTTTTTGCATCAATACAAACTTGATTCAGAGTTGTCCAACTTTCTATATATAAATAATGCAGTATCTGGTAGATGCAATAAAAGAAACTCTAATAAAACAAGGCATGCCTATATTCTGTCTGACTCTAGTTTAATACACAGTCTTGGAGAAGTATATTTACTTAAATTTTTTGCAATTTTTTGTGCATATTCTCTATTTAGAGGATGCAAGTGATAGACTGGGAACCTAACCTGCTCCTCTTGAGCGTTTAAAAAATAATTGGGAAATGACATCAACAGGCTCAAAATGACAAAAATGTACTTAGGAAGAAAATCCAATGCCACAGATATTTTGAATAAGAGTGGTGGAGATTTTGGTGGGTATTTGCTAAGAGTGAAGGGAAGGCAGGGAAGTTAGATTGTTGTTGGAAGTAATTTTGATCTCATAAGTATCTGGACAACTCTAAAAGAATCTCAAAAAGTGCTGGTCTCATGTAATATATATATATATATATATATATATATATATATATATATATATATTCTTGATCTTAGATTTTTTTAACCTATTTCTAGATACATTATGAAAGGGTAGAGAAAATTTTAAAAATATATTTTAGAAATGATAGTAAGTAAAATATGCATGATAAACAAAAAGAACATTTATATATGGGCTAAATCTACCATTAATATTTTCTCCTGACAATGACTGAGGGGAGTAAGAATTTTGAGATGAACCATTTCTTTCATTGTTAATATAGAGTAATATGATAGCCACTTATGCCCAAGGCTTTTACAGCATTTTTCCTGTACCTGTTCTCTAGTCCAGAGATATTAGTCATCTCTGGAGTATTTACTTCTATTGTCAAAAATCTCCTGCTTCTCATTGGTAGAGTCTGTAATAACTCACTGTGACTACCAACTCACTGTCACAAACTGAGGCAGGCTTTCACGAAACTTCAGTAAGTCTTCTTGCAGAGTAGCGGCTTGGTCTAGCTTCCTAGATTGAATTATGACTTCACTATGAGCTGTGTGTTGGGCCTGATAATCAGAACCCTGCATTTCAGTGTCTTTATCTGAGAAAGAGGATACTTATCTTAACAAGCCAAAGTGTCTATTGTGAAAATTAAAAGAAATAACCACAATTTGCCTTTCATAAGGGATATTTGAGTATCAAACAATCAGAAGACTATGGTCTGTTACCTCAGAGATGGTGGTCATTATGGTGTTGTAAATCCAAACTAGAGCTTTTAAATACAGGAATCATTGTTCTCAATTTCATATGAGGGGGCTAAGAACACATATTCAAAGTGATTTCTGCAAAACTAAAGATGACTGTGTGCTTCTACCATAGTTCCCTTGTGTCTGTTGTGTTTCAGGTTGTGGGCACTTTTCACTTCACTTGTTATCTGTCACTTGCAGCTGTTCTGGGAAGAACACTGGTGTAGTACATCCATGAAAGTGAATGAAGAGCATGACAGACCCATCCACACTAACCTTGTGAGGTTCAGTTTCCTTAATGGAAACAATGGACCATAATGCTCACTTTTACAGCGAGGAAAGCAGCTTAAACAATATGGTAGCGGGTATGTGCACTATGTGACTGAGTTTAGAAATTCATGCCAATGCATATTTACATTGTTTTTGTTAGTACACATCAAGATAGTAAGGTCATAATGGACCAGTGTTAATTCTACCTATCTACTCACAAGGAGACTGTCTTCCCTTGTTTAGAAATACCATTTCATTTCTCACCTTGATACAGATGTATAATCCCTTGATCAAGCTCTGTGTGGCTATACAGGCTGTATTACTCAGGACTGTGTCTTAGTTTAGGGAGGACATAAATGTGTATCTCTAGTATCTCTAGTAAGCCCACAACAGCGGTCTTAAACATAGGGCCACAATTTAACACGGCAATAGGCTGCAGATATAATTGTTTTCTGTTTTTCACATATCAACTATATGTTCTCATCATTTTAAATCATATACTTCCAACATATGCAGATCAGTAGATCTGTTTTTTTGTACTAACTGTATTATCAATTGGTTACTTTTAAACTATAAATTTGGTGTTCATTTCTCTGGACTTCAGCACTGCACATGCACACATACAAACCAAAAACAAAAACAAAAAACTGGAAATTTGGGGTGTGTTAAGTTCACTTGTGGCTACATGGTACTCTTGTTATCAATTACGTCATGACTCATGATAACTTTCATGACTACTGTGTGAAGTATGCAAAAGTAGATGCCTTCAGTTTTGCATCCCTTCAGCCCTGAAATTTTTAAATTGTATTTAGTGTGTTCTATGCACATAAAAACAAACATAACACTATTATTAATATATGGAGAGTTTTAAAGTACTTGTTTGTATAACAATATTCCTTTTCTTCATCATAAATATGCATCAATCTTGGGAAACAAAGCCTAAATTACATCATGTCAGTTTTCATGCACGAGTGCATGGAGAATAGACTCTAATGATGGGCTGCCTCACTCAGGACTCAATGAGACAATGATGCTCAGTCTGAAAACTCTTGCCTCAGTGTCAGATGGGAGGGCATCTATAGGCAAGTCATATAAAAGATTTAGTATTCTCTGACTGAAGCTGTCTTCATGCATTGTATGCAACTTTATTAGGATTGGTGAACAGAAGGTAGAACGTTTTGTCATCTTACCTATATGTTGCCCGTACATGTGGTAGAAGAAACTGAAACAATATGCAGTGTTTGTTGGTCCATAGGGATTTTTTGGAGCTATGCTGAATACAGGACTGAGAAGTCGAGCCTTTTCACCTTCTAGTCTGGGTCTAGATGTTTCAATGTACATATAAAAACCTGAAAGTAGGAAAAGCAAGTGTTGGAGTCCATTTTTATGAGGAAACATAGAATGTTATTATGACATTTCAGAGCTTGAATTCAAAATCAAAGTTGATACTATTGTATGGCTATGCACAATTATTTTTTATTATGATTTTAACAGAAAAATAAGACATAAAAAGCTGAAAAATGGTAATTTTAGAGATGAATTAGCACAAAAATAAACAATAACACTGATCTCTCAACTACGTTTATCACAGAGGTTTGAGAAAACAATAATGGCCACAAACTTTGGAAATAACTTAATTGCTGATAGTATGTAAAGATATAATGATTTACTCTATGATTCTCAAGTACATAGCTTACTACTCACTTGTACTGCACTGTTGGAACATTTACAGCTCTAGTTGCTGTGTGCACACAGTTCTGTAAACCCCTTACCTTCTTTGGAACCACTGCGATCCGCATTAGGCCCCGTGTTAGGAGTGTATTTTGTATTTCTTGTCGCAGTACTTTGTTTTGTCCAGTCAAAATTATCAGTGTCATCTTGAGTGAACAAACAAATGTTACCATCTTCAAATCCACAGTGAAATTCTCCTGTTAACACATTTTAATTAAAATAATAAACATTAATTAAATTGAGCATTGTAATGTTTTATTAGAAAAATTTCAAATATTGCCATGCAATAACAGTACAGAAATATAGAACTAAACATAGTACTATTATAATTTTTGGTGAAAAAGAGTAATGATTTAATTAGGTTATTTTAATTTTACAAAGTAGTGGGCATCATCCTAGCATTTCCATACACACACACATGCCCTTTGATTGTATCTCTCCCTCTCCCTGTTTACCCATCATGCCCTTTCTGCTTTTCTCTTTCATATTCCCTATAGTTTCCAAAGAGTACTATCTTGCTTTACATTAAAGCAGTATCTTACAACATAATTAAGGCCCAAATCTTTTGTTCAGAAGCAAACAAATTAGTCAAATTAATAAAACAATTCACATTTGACTTCTGCATGGAGAATTTTCCTAACTTTTTTTTTAATGCATTGGAACAGCTGAGACATAAGTGGCAATTAGAAAATAAACATTCTATAACAGGAGTGGTGGCACAAACTCATATTCCTAGCACCAAGGAAACAGCAGTAGTAAAACCACCACGACTTTAAAATGCACAGTAAATCCCAAGATAGCCTTTACTATAAACAAGACCTTGTTTTAAGAAACAAAAATAAAGAAAATGAAACTACTGAATTCACTTGATAACATTTTAAACATGTACACCTTGAGCGTGTAATTTTTTATGCCCTGACCTCTAGCAATACTCTTCTATACACACATCTGCGACGCTGTGTGTTTGCTTAGGGCAAGGCAACAGTAAATTGCTTTTAAAGCAGTCATCATTCATGCTTGAGATGAGTATAGGTTTGCCAGATGTGTGAAATCCACTTGAAGTGAATTTTATAAAATAACTCTATGTAGACCCTGAGGAAGGACTGGGAGTTTTTGATGCCTGCCATATGCTGAGTGAGTTCAGAGAGAGATTTTTCAACATGCCATTAAATAGCAGTGGTGGTAATCCTATAATAGAAGATTTTCTTACTGGGATATACCCTGCTTCAAAAAGTATATACATAAATGAGCTAGTAACTTCCATCAGAAACATGAGTTGGGCGCAACAGTTGAAAGAATATTAAATGTAGTGCATATTCTTCCGGTCCACAAAATAAAAGGCTCAGCAAAATGTCAGTACTCTTCACTGTGAGTCTCACAATTGAGCAAACTTGGGTTCAGTCAGCTCTACTTGTTAAAAATACAGTTCACAAAGACTCCAGCTTTGCTGAAGTTCACAGAGAAAGAAACATCTAAAGACACTCCCTCTGGAGTCCCTAACACCCTTGCAAAGGGGTAGATCCATTCATTAGTAATACTCAGGAAGGGGAACTTGATTCAGATCATATACCTGAGGTAAGCGAAGCCTCTTTCTTTACATATAAGGAATATAATTTTGTTAGATTACATAGTTGCTATGTATCTGTATACTTACTTATATTCTATCTAGATGGATATGTTCTAGAAAGACAATATTCTACATAAAATATTTTGTTTAATAAACTCTTTTTTATTTATGTTTAAGTATGTGTCTGTGTGTGCGTGTGTACCTTCAGTGTGGGGGTACTCATGGAAGCCAGAAGAGCTGGTGTCACAGGGCGCCATGAGCTACCTGATTCAGGGACTGGGAACTGAACTTAGCTCAAGAAATGTTCTTAACCACTGGACTTCACTGCTGAGCCATTTCTCCAGCCCAACACAACGTCTTTCAGGCACATATTTCTGGTACTGGTTTTATAGGAAAGAAGACAGGATCTTAGGATGTTATCAGCAAAAAGCATAATGTTTATGACAGTACTATGGCAATGTACAAGCTAATTTCTCCTGACGTCTTTTAGGAACACTGCATAGTTTTTTTACTTGAGAGCTTCGATCCCAAAGGAGACTGTTTTTAAATGTCTTCAGTTGTTTAGTTTCATATTACTTATGAACACAAGGAAATCAAAGAACAAGTGGAAAAATGTACTTCAGAATTCTTGTAGAAACATATGCTATGTTGTTTAAAATTAAGTACAATAGGGCTGGAGAGATGGCTCAGCAGTTAAGATCACTGGCTGTTCCTCCACAGGAACAAGTTTGGTTCCCCGCTCGCACATGGCTGCTAGTAACTGGAACTCCAGTCCAAGAAGGTCCAATACTGTCCAATTCTGTCTTTTGTCTTCTGAGGACATGGCACACACATGACGTATAGATATTCAGGCAAAACATACATATCAAATAAACAATTGTTTTTAATAAAGACCTAGTGAGAACCTTTTTAAAAAAAAGATAAAGTGGGTTTTTTCTTATTTTTGTGTTTGTTTTTCAAGACAGGGTTTCTCTGCATAGCCCTGGCTGTCCTAGAACTCGCTTTGTAGAGCAGGCTAGTTTCGAACTCAGAGATCTGCTTGCCTCTGCCTTCTGAATGCTGGGATTAAAGGTGTAGTAAAGTGACATTTTAGTAGCATAAAATAATTTGATTATTATCCTATCACTTTAAATTGGATAATTAAACATTTGTGCTAGGAAGATTGTTCATATAAATCTTATCCAATAAAGAACATTTGAAAAATAATGCACATTCAATGAGCTACATAAATAGCCAAAGTCACTGTAATATTGGATTTTAAAAGATCTCACAATATGGAAAAAAAAAGGAAACCTGAGAATTTCTCAAAGGCAGACAAGTAATGATTCACTACATTTTCAGTTATTGATAGCATTCTGATTATAAGAACACAGCTTGATGTCCTTGAAGGTTTGATTCTCAGTTGGCAGAACAGTTCCACAAGGATTAGGAGGTGTGGCCTTGTTGGAGGGAGTGGGCTTAATAGTTTCAAATGCTCACATCATTACAGTTGGTATGCCATACCCCTTCAACTCATGCTTGTAGATCAGGTGTATGCTCTCAGCTACTGGTACCTGCCATGATAGTTATAGACTCTACAACCCTCTAGAATCATGAAGCTGAATTATGTTTTTGTTTTGTTTGGTTTGGTTTTTTAGGTGCCTTGGTCTCTTCATAGCAATAGAAATGAAATTTTAAATATTCTACATTATATGATCTCCAACATGTTATTGTATTTCCCCAAATATATTCAAATATGGTGAAGAAGTAGCAAATTAGAAATAAATAGCCCCTGGAACTCCATGACCCATGTTCTCAAGGACTGATATTGAAATGGTAAATATATATCTCACAGTAAATCCTCTTCTTACTTCAAATGATTTGCAGAGATATGTGTTGGCTAATCACCATTGTCCACATACTAGATTTAGAATCACCTAGGAAACTTATCTTGGTATATTCCTTATAGTTTTTTTTAAATAGACATTTAACTGAGGAAGGAAAATCCACCCTGAATATGAGTAGTAACACCTCATGTGCTGGAATCAGTGAGTGAAAGGGGGAAGGGGGAAAACTTGAAAGGCAGCAATACTCATGTATTTGTTTCCTGACTTCAAGATCCAAGAGCCATGCCTTCATCTATGATGGACAGTATCTCTATTTATACCATGAAAAAACACGAGTCCTGTTCCCCTCAAGTTGTTTCTACTAGATCATGGATATAAGATGTTTTTATGTGTGGAACTAATTTTCAGGTATATGAACACTACTCTTCATCATGTATTTACACAATTTAATGTAAAGAAAAAATTCAGAATTCAAAATTAAAACCAGATCAAATATATTGGAGCTTATATTTACATAAATTTAGTGACTTGTGGCCAGGTGCGGTGGTGCATATTTGAAATAACTATACTTAAGTGATAAAGATAGCATGATAATTTCTGTTCTAGTTGATGTTAGACTATATAGTTAGGCACTGCTTTTAATAAATACAATGCTAAAGTAAAATACTATCACATATAAGAAAAACCTCAAATACAAACTTGTTAACTAATCAAGGGTTGGGGTGATGGCTCATTGAAGAAAACCACTTGCAGCATATGCATGGTGACCCGAATTAATATCCGGGATACTATGGTAGAAGTAGAGAATTGACTCAGAAAAGTTGTCCCATGACCTCCATAGATGTAAACTGTAGGACCTACCCTACTACACATACTATATACACATATTATGAACATATATGCACTAGCAATAATTATTATTATTATAGTAAATGGCTTTAATAAGTAACCTTAGTCTCTGCGAGGAAAAGACAACAGATTCAGAATCAACTCAAAGTAGTATGACAGGAAAATGAACACACAAATAATATCCTACAAAAATTAAAATGAATCCTACAGTTCCAGAACAGTGAATACTAACCAGTTTGGGGAAATGATTCCCCATTTTCCAACTTAGCTAAATGTATAAACATCTACTATGAGTATCAAATTATTTGTTTTCAATCTCTGATATCCTATAAACTTTGAAGTGCATACACAATGCCAACTGTACTGTTTTAAAATCATTGTTTTATACTAAGAACAGTTTTTACCTAATGTTTCTACATTTATATGAATTTGATTTTTCTTCACAATGTAATAGAATATGATTTCCTAAGTAGAAATAATATACTTACTCAAATGAGGATTTACAGGTGCTAGAAGAAAAGGAAAAAAAGAAAAGGAAGGAAAGAAGAGATAAAGAAAAAAAAAGTTAGCAAGGCTTAGATGTTATTTGTAAATAAAAATCTAATTAGTCTACACAGCATCCTATAGTTTCTCCCAAACCTAGTGATGGCAGTGGGTAATTATATCTGCAGTCCATTTGGTTGTATGGGATGGAGTGCATTTTATTTCCAGCTCATATTAAGAACTTCAAAGTACTACAAAGATCAATGCTAAAGAGCATATTGGGGAGGATCACTTTTCAGGGAATGGCACTGTTAAACGTTTATACCCTAACTAGTGCTATTGGTAAAATAGTCTATAATCTAGAATGCAAGCAATTATTCTACAGATTATATTTTCTATTATATACACTTGGAAGATAATATGACATATAAAAATAATGAAATTCTTAAATCATGTCGTGTTTCTGAAACAAATAAACACATTGACACTACTTTGTTTAATTGAATTAAGACACACACAAACACACACACAAATACACACACACACACAAACACACACACAAATACACACACACACACACACACACACACACACACACACACACGGACATTTCAGATCACAGGTTTACCATATCTTAAGTGGCATGATACAAGTGGCATATCATTGAGAAAAACAATTATGACTTTCATAAAAACACCATCTGATTGCTGTTGAAAGGGAAATAAGGATTTCAAGTTTTACTAAGAAGTTAAAACATTTGTACTTTACAGTGTAACAGGGAATGTGTCTATAGGTCATCAGTTATCACTGATAGTAAACTGCTACTGGTGTAAAAGCCTCTCTGTTTCTTCCAAGAATTACAATGGCTGGTAACATACCTTGTGGAAATTCTGCTCCTAAGACCATTGCATATCAGATATTTACATTATGATTCATAACAGCCTCAAAATCTCATTTACGAAGCAGTAACAAAAATAATTTTATGTTTGGGGAGTCAACACAACAAGAGAACATGTAGTAAGATACTCTACAAAATTTCTTACATTAATAAATACTTGTTTTATATATATATATATATATATATATATATATATATGTTACATATATATATGTAAACTACTCACCAGTATATTTGATTACACGAATTGTTGAATCTCCTTCACCAAATTTAGTAAGAGGAGTTAGTCGGACTTCATAGGCCTCTGGTTTAATTAGTTCAGTCAGGTTATATGTAATTAGTTCTCCCTTTTGAATATTCCCATTTATTTTAATCTCCTGTTCCCACCAACGTTGTTGTCCAGCCTGAAATTAAAGCAATTGTACAATAATGTTTCTAGCAGCTAATTTAAAGTTACGTGCTTTGTATTAAGAAAATGCAAAGTAGTTTGAAAGTTTATTAAATTTCATTTTAGGTGTTTATTAAACATCTAATATTTTATAAACATGATATATGTATATTTTATAAATATATATTTTATAAAGTCTGTTGCTGATGTTTCTTGATAACTGCAAAATTATTAGAGGTTAGTTACGTAGATTCAAGTGATTTGAATGGATCATTTTATATTGAGAGTTGGATCATTCAAACAAAGACCACTTGATGTTTGAAGAGGAGTATGTGCAACTATGTTTAACATAAATTATTGATTGTGTATTAGATTCCTAAAGTACTATAACTTCTTTATCATATCAACAAACACATATGCTGTACGTAACAGTTTCTAGGATGAATTGAAGGTATGAGAGTTATAACACACAGATGAGTATTTCCTTAGCTCCTGTAGTCCAGTGAAAACAGAGATATAATGAAGACTGAAAAAAAAAAAAACTCAGTATAAGATGATTCCCAAAAGTTATACATGTAATTAAAAATTAAAATGACAAAGGGGTCCAGAGTGATGCAGCAAATGTCAATGAAAAGGATCCATATCTAAGTAATCACAGGGCCACTCTGTAAGAATAATGTTTGATTGTTAGGAAAGTCAGGTATCTGTCATTGGGTTCAGGAGGAAGCACATATCAATGACTTTGAAATATATTGTTCCAGTGGAGCAAAGGGGATTAAAATACAACTGAGGCAAGATGAAAAAGGAATAAGTGTTATACTATATTCTACACTGAACATATGATGCTCAGAAAATTTTATGATTAGTTTTTTTTTTTTTTTTAGGGGGGGACCAGGAACTGAACTCAGAGCTTCACAAATGATGGCAAGTGCTCTCTGAGATACATCCTGAGATTTTAAAAAAAAGCCTCTTCTAGTAATTCCATTCCATTAAAAATTTTTAAATTTAAAAATAACCCAGGAGAGCAGTTAAGAAAAGAAAGGTACTCATTTATGAAATAAATTAGTTACTGTCATGCGACTTCCCATTTGGTTTGTCCCTTAGTAGTTAAGAAATATTCAGCATTAGGAAGTCTGCTAATTGAAGAAGAATAAGTTTTTTTACATGGAGAAACACTGGAGAAATGTCAACATTTATTTATAGAGAAATGATTGATTGTCTAGAAACAAGAACTTGATTAACCTATAAATGAAATGGAACATAAATCTATAAGATGCTTCATTAATAATATTCATTTATTTTGGAGTTGAAAATGAGAAAAGAATACTGAGTCTTACCTAGTCACAAACAGATACAAGAAAGCACTTAATAATTGAGACTGTGGACTTGTCTGCATCGTTACAGAATCACTGGTTCTTTCTCTCAATCTCTCAGATTCTCTCTTCTTCCCTCTTTCCCTCTTATATGTATATTTGATTTTCTCTCATACAAATTATGCCTCTTTTTTAATTTCTTATTCATGTGTCTATATTTTTAAACACTTTAAATTTTATTAATTAAATTCCTACATCTTATTCATTAGTGCTCTTGATATGTAATTATAGATTTATATGTAGTTGCAAATTGAGGTTTTGCTTTATTTTTATATATTTTGCTGGTTTATCCAATTAACATGGATTTTTTTATTCTTCTTAAATCTAATAATATAGATGAAAGATTGATGATAGATAATAGGCATAGATTATTTCTAATACTTTCTGCTACTATCCTTACCTAAAATATATTACATGTATTCTTGTTTGTAAAGTATTCCCTTTATATATTTTTTAACTATGCACTGATCATAGACTTATAATTCTCCTACTGGGGGATGTTTTGGACTAAAAGGAAAAATACAGTCTTTTACAGACTTACCTTTGTTCTGACATGCTCCTAAGGGCATCAAACAAGGCCATTCACTCTTACTGTGAAATCTTTTGATAGCTCAGATAAAGTTGGAGAAAATTCCCCAGTTCTACTGGTCTTAGGTTTTTATTTTTGTTTGTCTCAAATTGTTATGAATCGAAGTTCAGGTTTAACCTTGGTGGTGAGCAGCTGAGGACAACACTTGTTTGAAAAGGAATTCAAATTACTAATATGGATGGTGATTTACATGTTCTTAGATTTACGCATGGTAATTCTCACTCCTCTCTCATCTCTTATTTCTGTACACACATATGCATGAATTACTTATGTGTACACATATCTCTTTATATATTGTTTCATATACTATATATATGTTCATATCTAATGTATGTTTACATACATTCATATGAATACTGATTTGTTCTCTGAAGGTGGATTAGTCCTAACTATAAAGCTTGGACTCCTACTGTTCTTATACTTATGCTGTTGTACTTCTGAATATGGGTATTTCTAAAATGTGCACTGTTTGTATTTCTCAGTAATTTTGTCTCAAAAAGCACAGACAAAATACTAGGATTAAAAAAAAAGGCTACTTCATGTGTAATTCTTGGAGCTGTATTCAGAAGAAAGAAAAAAAATATACAATTGAAGAGGTATGTGTACAGAATAAAAGCATATATAAGATCCTTATCTACGTATTACACAGAGAACTCAGTCTCAGGAAGCTCAAGTACTTAACTTTAAAAGACACAATTGGATGTCTATTGTGAGATTGCATCTCCTGGAAATGTCAGGCAAACTACACCCATGAGGTCTCATCATAATGGCTGCCTGAACAAGAACCAAAAAATGATGACACCAATAAATGTGTTAACATGGAGGAAGAACTCTCACAGGGTCCCATCCTGACAAAGAACTACAGACAGTTCTGGGACTAAGAAATTCTGGGACTGGGAGAAACCATCTTCCCTAGAAAATAGCACATCAATTAGATCTGTACTGCCAAATGGTCAGTCCTGAAAATATATACATACAAGTCATGGGGGATATCCTTCTGTATATATGTTTCTTTTATTGGTAGATGAACAAAATAGTGATTGGCCAGTAGCCAGGCAGGAAGTATAGGTGGAGCTACCAGACAAGGAGAAATCTGGGGAATAACAGGTCTCAGCATTCTCCAGCTAGATAAGGCCATGTAGAAATAAATAGATTAATGGAAATTGGTTAATAATTGAGAGAGAAGTAGCCAATAAAGAGCATGAGCCATCGGCCAGTTTATAATTAATATAAGCCTCTATTTATTTATTTGGGTCTAAACGAATGTGGGACAAGGAGGGAAAGAAACTTTGTCTACATACAAGTAATATATACATATATATATATATATATATATATATATATATACTGATCAGATTGAATTTACATACTTAGAATTATATAACCATATACTACACATGCAGCAATAATTAATAAAAATGGGCCATAGGCCATAAATCAGAGGAAGCTAAAGGGTGGAGGTACAAGGAAATACTGGGAGAGAGAAAAGGAAAAGAGTAAAATAATATAGTTATGTTTAAATTTAATAAATAAATACATAGAAATAAAAAGACAAAACAGAGGGTATAAATATGATTATGGTTAAAGCAGAAACTCACAATTGATCAGCGTAGAGAATGAATGTCTGTGGAGTACTCAGCCATGTATAGGACATCTGTATGTCATGCCCTTTTTCAAGGCTCTGAGAATATTGAGGAAGATTGCAAAAGCCATAGATGTGGGAGCACCAAAGGAAACAGTGTCTTGTGGAAGTGTCACAAACTCACAGCAGCTTTGTGTTTGCCTGCCCAAGAGCCTAGAGTATCTCAGTCAACATTCCAATATGAACTGAACGGTGGAGAGATTCTAGGGAAGGAGAGTGTTTTCTTAAGGTTGTAGCCCCTGCTAGGTCAACACCACACCCATTAGTATATGGCCAGCACAAATGGACCTTGTTGAATATTTCAAAATAAAACAAGAAGTTGGGAGAAGTTGGAGGCAGGGGTGGGTTTGGGAACAGTAGGGGTGAACATGATCAAAATGCATTGCATGAAACTCTCAACAAAAAAATAAAATCATCTATGTTAAAAGTCAGCTGTCATTAGCATTCCCATTAGCATTAAGATGCATAAGCCTGGGATTTGAATATCTGTTTGTACCACACAGAAATAGCCTGAATATATTAAAATTCCTATAAGTAAACAAGAAGCAGAATTCAGTAGCAAAATGACTCAGATAATAGGTATTTCACAGATGAAGAAACTCCAATAACTAATTAATTAGAGAATGCTAAGTCCTCACAATGAATCAATGAAATAGAAATTAAAGCCACATTATTTCACACAACCAGACAGACTAAACTTTTAAAAATGTAACAGTACTAACGTTTGGTGTAGCCTTAAAACAATAAGAAACTTTAAGAATGTCAGAACCTATGTATAAGAAATGGAAGTGACTGTAACTCCACCTTTCTAACAAATAAGACTGTAAAGGCATTATGGATTCACACAAGAGGCTGGAAAACATTGATTCTGTACAGGATTTATGACACAGTAGATCCATGATAAGCTATCTTGTAGCCTTGGTTCCTCTTAGCTCCATCTCTTTTGGGATAACAAATCACAAGGTTGATGACACATATGCTTTGGTGTGTCTGAAGAACCTAGCGTTTTAAAACCCTTACGAGTCTGTAACAGGTAGCAACCAAATATACACAACATACTTACATCTTTATTATGCTGCACATCAAGCCTTCCCTATACTCCAGAAAGGGAAATTATTCTCTAAGGAAGTTTGCTGTGCAAATGAACTTGAAAAAAATATGACCATAATAAAATGACAAAGTGTATCTGTCCGCACAAGACATGCAGAAACACATGTCTGCAAAAAAAAAAAAAAAAAAAAAAAAAAAAAATCTGTCATCTGTCTTGCAAGCATACAGCCCTGCTGGATATGTAAACTGCATGACACTAAAATGTTACAACTTTAACAGGGGATTTTATACTCATTAGCAGGGATATTCATAACATAGGAAACATAGAAAATTGTATAAGCATAAGTATAAAATGTATAAAG